GATTGAAAATACTCGGTAGAGTGATGGTCTGCGATTGCTGTGGAGTGGCTTAAATCAGATTGGCAGGATCTTAAATTAGTTAAGAGTAGTAGTAACAGTTTTTAGGTCTATGGGACAGTTACTTTTTCCACGCAGGGTCAGGTAGGTTTGGACAACTGTTTTTTCCCTCATTAATAAATGAAATAATCATTTTACACTGAAATTCATATTTCCCTATGGAGTTTATATTTAGACATTTAAAGCCCATGGTTTAAATTAAGAGGAGGATGTGTGCAGAATATTTGCAAAATAAAAGCGATAGAAAAACATGAAGGCTGCTCCGTGTCTTCAGTATGAAACAGGCTGAGATTCCAGCGTTTCTTCATTTATTCAGATTGTTTTCAGCCCATATATCATCATGTAGGTCACTTCAGGATGCGCTTTGATAAGAATGCAACACCCCCACAGCAGCCAGCGATGCAATATTCTAAATCTGCAACCTAAACTCATTCCCAGAGTTACAAGCTTCTCCCTCTGGCCTTTTTTATTTAATCTGCGTCACTCAACAATAAAGGCATGTTTCATCTCAGCGTGTCAGGTACTAAAGCAACCAGAGGAGAAGGGGAACAAAATAAAACTGATGTGACAGTGTCACACAAGGTTACTACAAAGAATTATGTGTTTCCTTCTTAACCTACCACTCACCCTAACACACACACACACGCATGCCACTGATTAAATGCCACAAACATGGATTGGTGGGAGTGTCTGTGGATCACAAGGCTAATTGAACTGTCTCAGCTGTGGAAAGAACGATTATTAGTTATAGAAAAATGCAGGTAAGAGCGGACAAGAAGAGCAGATGTCTGTTCATGTCATATTCAAGCAAACATATAAAAGAGGAGATTGCTATTTTGATTCGATAAAAGTTTACTTTAATGTCTGTGTTGATCTGTCACTATGTTTATGGCTAAAATATCTCAGGAACTGGAAGTTCATGTTCCCTAAAGCATGATTTATAATGATTCTGGTGTTCCCTTAATGCTTTATGTGAACAAATATTGACAGCACTGGTGCAAAAATAGCAGTTTTGTATAAGAGTGGTTAGCACAGGCTTCACATTGTCGTGCTGAGGAACATGTGTGCGATGAGCGCTTTGAGATCCTCGCTCTGAGGAGCAGACTGGGTGTCCCACAGAGCAACAGATGTTTAACTACTCTCTCCAGCCACTCCTTTGCGGCCCAGTCACTGCCCCTGTCTTTGTGTGCTAACCAGCTCTACGTGTGTCTGTCTCCTCCTATCATTCACAGACCTCTGTTTAGGAGTAATTAGCTATGTGCCTCCTCTCTTCCTCCACTTCTACCCTGAAGCCTCATTGTCATTGTACTGTCATCTCACCCTTAACTGTGCTAAGTAATAATCATCCAATCTCAGCTCTCCGCCTCGCCTCCTTTCCCTCTCCTCCTCCTCCATCCCTCCCTCTTGTCCTCCTCATTATCTCCCGGTCTGAGTTTTGAAGGCTGTCATTAATCAACTCATTTTGAACAATGTTGAACCTTGCAACCCCGAACACCCACCGCTGCTCAACTAGGAAGTGTTCCATTCCCCTGCGGTCCATTAGGCCAATCGGAGCAAAACGAGGGTACGACAAAAGATACAATAGAATCCAAAAGCAGATTTTGGACTAGATTCCACAATAGGGCGCAGACAGCTGGGGAACAACAGGCTTTATTATATTCTATCTGTTGGGAATTTGGGGGAATTTTCTTCTCAACCCAAAGTCTCCTGGGATACACTGTCATGTCTTACTTTACTAAAATGCGTGGCGTGTTAATCCCTGTCTGACGCCCGTATCTTTCCTTGGTTGCGTGGTGTTGATGATGGGAACATGCTGCTGAACTCTCAGGCGCTACCTTGCAGCAATCATTAGTGTCAACTATTGGAAAATACCCACAGAAGCCTGCACAGAGTCTGTCCTTTGCAAAGTCATGAGAGTCACGAGATGATGTGCATAATTTCCACCCACATTGTAGCCAAATGTGGGTGGAAATTATTATTTTTTTAAATTGCACAAATTCTATTAGAGGTTCACTGCTGCACTAGACCCCGTTTAACAAACAGGTTCTTGGCATAAAATAAGTGAAATAAAATCGGCTCTGCCTCTGCACTTCAAGAATGGGGTAACCTTTTTGCCATTTAACTATAGAGGTCTGACAGAATCGCCCACCTTCTTTACATTTGTGTATGAAAAGAGGCGACATAAACGCTTCTTTTACAGCTGAGGGTAGAGGGGAGCGATGGGCTGGCTTGTTTTTCTATTCTGTGGCTTGCTCTTATCCATTATAACTCTGTGATCTGCATTGTTGCTCTTGTCAGACCAGTGTGTGTGTGTGCATGATAGAAAGACAACAAGAAAGGGAGGTTAAATAAAATGCATTAAATTGTAAATCATTTAATTTAAATCAAGGATTTTAACATGAATGGAAGAGCAGCCATCCTTCTGAAAGAATAAACATCTGCTCTGCTTCTTTCCTTCAGTTTCTTTTGTGTTAAATTGGACCAAGAAGGACAACTTTTTTGCCAGGAGAGAACACATTCCTCCTTAAATGTAATGAAGACAACCCAAAAGCCTACATCACAGCCTTTCACCTTAAAAACTCTTCTCCCCCCTGAACCGACGTCCTGTGTTAACTCTTAAATTTCAGTCATGTCTTCTAACAACACGTATCTGAAAACTGAACAACGACAAAAAGTTTGCAGCCCACTTAAAACCCTCACTCCTGATTTCCGCTGTTATAGCTGAAGATGAGTGAATGTGGTTGATGAATAATGTCTCCGTTTAACAAAAACAGATGTAGAACGATATCTTATAACAGGCCATCTCTGCTGTGCAATGAACAGAAACCATCTATGCACAGATGTTATATGAAAACAAAGACTTTTTTAAGGATGATTAAAATGGCAGTCTAATGACCATAAATCACAATTCTAATATATTACCAAACACGCTGTTTCTATTTGGTGTTAAATTTTAAATATCAATGTCATCAGCCTACAGAACCTTATCTCAAAGGTTATGATATTTATGCTTGGCCATCAAGAAATGTTAGACAGACTGTATTTAATGGTGAGCTATATCCTCGCTCTGCCTTATCTAATGCCCGGAGAAGAGATCACAGGGTGGTAATTATTTTACAGTCGGTTTTTACAGCCTTGGATCTGTCCAACATCACAGTGATGTATCTGACCATCAAAGACACCGAGAACGAGTCGCCCATGCTATAACATAAAGCATTTACTTTATAACAAATACCCAAGAATTTGCAATCAAATTGCTTGCTCTTGTTAAAACAGGATACATAATAAATGTTATAGAATATATGATGAACATGTATGCTGCTTTGTGGACTCTTCCTGTTCATGCACAGTTTTGTGCAGCACGCTGATGGGTGCATTAGCCATGGATAAGACACCTTGCTGTGCCCATGCTTTAATATTTGATCAGTGATGTAAGTTATAATAATTACACAACATTAACTCCTACTATACGCACAGCTCTTCCAGTCAAAGGAGGCGGCTGATAATTTACTCAAATATATATATGTATATGTAACGTTCCAGCACACACATGCAACTTTTACTTTAAACACGTAGGCTGTTTCTCTTAAATGCTGTGTGCTCAGTTCAGCAGGTGTTGGTGTATTTGTCTTGGACATGAGAACAGTTTGTTTTCCCAGGTCAATGACTGTCTCTTATCAATCCTGTAAAGTCCAGCAGGAAATCACACCTGGTGACTGTGGAAAATAGTCTATATAGATGAAGGCTGAACCCTTTAAGCGACGCTTAATTGCTCAGTTTCAGCCTCTAATTAAGATATTGTCTGTCTGTTTGTCTGCGACACGTAGGAATCAGTTTAGGTTGAAGGGAAGATCTCCTGGAAAACTATAACTACTTACATGCCGTCCTCTTTTGTGCACATTAATATATAAAATATACTCCTGCATGCAATAGACGAAGAAGAAAACTGTCTTCCCTTTCCAAATCTTGGTTGCATGCACCGTGTGTATAATTGAAGAATAAATGCCAACTACTACGTGTTTTTTGTCACCTGTGTCTACTTTGCCGGTGTGGTTCTAATCTACAGGAGGGGAAAACAAAGAAAAGTTTGCTTTCTCTCAGTTTACTGCCCTTTTATGTGCTCTGTAGTGTGGTGATGACGATAATCATGGAAGCGGCTGCTGATAAGAACAGTTGGGTTTCTGTCAACCTTAGCAGGCTATAAAGTTTAATCAAGAGTTAGCTGTAAAATGATTAATTTTTGTCATAACTCTAAGTAAGATTACAGCAATTAAGGCAATATAGTCGTCAAGAGTGTTTGCACCTCACACATGTTGGATGTGTAATATAATGAGTGTGTAAGAGGTTGTGTGAGAAAACTACACCTCGACTTCACCTGAAACAGGGTTAAAGATAGAGGACGCAGACATTTAAGGAAGAAGAAGTTCACATTATTAATCTTTCTTTCCTTTTTACAAAGTTCTCCTACACAGGTTAATCTTTTCTGCTTTGAGATTTATTGACGCGTAAATGGTTCTAACAGGGGCTTACAGGAAGCCATTTCTGTGACCTAGTTGTATGCATAAGAAGGACGAGATCAATTAACACCAGAAGAGTTTGTGAGTTCCTGCCCCTGTGCTTCTGCAGAGCTCTGGCCAATCACAACAAAGCAGACTTTGTCGTGCGCTTGGGTTCGAGTAATTTTTGCGCTCACTGTCGGAGCGGTGAAGTGTTTTTTACACGCAGAGTTCGTGCAGTGGGTCAGAAAAAAGGCATTTCTTCCGTGAGTGGGAATGACAAGCTTAACCCGTGTATCAAGACCTTAGGGAAACATCGAAAGTTCATCAGAAGAGTTTATTTCATTATTGAAGTTTAGGTTCGGGTTTTAAAAACAACAAAAACGCTTCACACGAAATAACATCAACTGTTCAGAGGACACATCTCGAGTCAGAATGACAGCCAACATGGAGAAATCCAAAAACTTTCGAATTGATGCGCTGCTGGCGCACGACGTGGACCAGAGGACGGACACGGACAGTGCGTCCCCCGGGCTGTATCACAGCAGGAGCCCCGGAGACAGCCCGCTGTCGACCGGCGGCTCAGAGACGCCCTCCTCCCCTCATCCAAACTCCTCAAACTCGTCTCCGGCGCAGTCTGAAGTCCTCTCCAAGTCTCATCTCTTCAACCTGTCCCAGTCGGCATTCCCTGCCCTGCATCAGGTGGGTCTCATCGGAATGCACCCGAGCTCTGTGTATCCCGTGGCGGCCCTCGGAGGCCAGCACACCGCCTTCATGTACCCCGGCTTCACGCAGCTGGTCCATCCGTATCCGGAGCAGCTGAAGGGGGTCACCGGGACGCTCCCACTGGAGCCTTGGATCAGAGCCGGGATAATGATGCCCAGACTCAGAGAGTATAACGGTGAGTTTGCGTGTTTGTTTCCACAGATTTGCATTTTTCTCGCCTATAAACTTTATCATTGTTATTTTCGTACATGGTAAGAATTTTTCAACATCTTAATTTTTGGATCAAAGTTTTTGAATATTTAATAAAACTTGTTATAACATTCTTCTGCTTGGTATTAACATTTAAATAATAATTTAATAGTTGCAGTGTTTCTTTGTTGATCACGTATTTGGCCAGTGTGTTAATTTATGTAGAACAATAAAGCACTTCATAAATTGATTCTATATTTTTTCTTTAGTTATTGATTGTTTGGTGCACAGCTGCATGTGTTTTTCTCTGAGATCGTTTATTGTAAAGATCACTATTACCTGTGTGTTCGTATTGAAAGTGCTTTGACATTGAGAAGCTGTAGTTTGAGGACGATTTATGTCATACAAATAACATGCACTGTTTATGGTAAAGGTAACACCTGATACAGACCTCAGTCAACTGATCACACTTATAGTGTTTTCATTAAGGTAATGGACCCCTGTGATGGTTTATTACTCCTCTGCAGCAATCCTGTTATCATGACCCTCCATCAAAGCAATAACTGTTAACTGACAGAAACACTGTGACACAGGTCGGCCGTGGCAGCAATGAGAAACCAGGATTTGGGATTTTGTAATATTTCCTTTCCTCCTTAATCCCATTTATAGATTACCTTTATGTAGGCCGCCATATGATTTGCTTCCTTACAGGCCTACCAGTCATAACAAGTGAAATATTTCCACTTGCAGAGACAAATTAATATCATTGATATGTCATAAATAATTTGTCTGGTTTCTCCTCAGCACCATCTCAGACAGGTTTGTTGGGGAAGTGTCGGAGGCCCAGAACAGCTTTCACCAGTCAGCAGCTGCTGGAACTGGAAAACCAGTTCAAGCTCAACAAGTACCTATCCAGGCCTAAACGGTTTGAAGTGGCCACCTCGCTCATGCTAACAGAGACTCAGGTTAGACGCTGACAAAGTTAGTGAATGACCATATAAGCCAACAATGGCTATTTTTTGTGTGTAACATTAACAGCTCCCTGGTGTTTGATTTTTACTACATTCTTGTCAGCATTTCATATACCAACTTCATTTATTCTCAGTTCAGCCAGCTACATTACTAAATAGTCCAAACTGTGATGATTCCTGCCATTTCCAGGTTAAGATCTGGTTCCAGAACAGGCGGATGAAGTGGAAGAGAAGTCGCAAAACTAGGGAACAAGTAACTCCAAGCAGCCTCGCGGACAGAGAAAGAAGCGGGATGGATTTGAAGAGTATCAAACGTCACGGTGGCTCTCGCACTTTGAGCCTAGAGGATGAGGAGGAGATAGCAGGGGAACACGAGGATGAGAAAGAGCAGATAAAAGAGCTGAGAGAAAGTTCCTTTGGCTCTGTTGGGTTCACGAGGCATTCAGGAGGAGAAATGGCAAACTACAACTCTTACTCAGAGGAGGAGACTGAGGAGGGAGGCCCAGGAACAAAAACTGGGGCTTTCCCATCATAAACTCGTCCATGTTTTTATTATATGTCTTCTTATGCTCATTATTATTAAAATAGTAATGCCATTGCAATCCTGTGCACGAAGACGGTGGAATGAAAACAACGTTTTGTTAAAAGTTTTGCTTGGTTAGTTTGTTTTTTAACAGCCTGGATCATAGTGCTAAACCAACTCCAAACATCTCAGTCTGTTATTAATATTACATGAAATCAGAACTGTTCAATTGTTATGTACCTGAACATTTAATGCTTTAATAGCCAGCTATCCATCCATGAGTTATGACTTTAAAATCAACAAATAATTCAGACTTTTTGAATTTATCTTTATGACTTAAAGCCCACTTCCCTGTCCTGCCACCTGCAATAAACACATTTATCTTTGTACGCGCATGCAATTAAACTACATGAACGAGTGATAATGGCACTTTCATAGAAGGTAGTAGACAATGAGACAGACATAAAATAAAACTAATGATGTCAGTGTGGATGGTAATATTATCCAGGTTTCCTGGTCCGTTACAATATGTGATTTACGTGAACTCAGCTGATGTTTCAGGGCATTATAAACACATAACAGGCACACTGTTGTGTTGCTACTGTATTTCCTTTTAGGAATTTAGTTTGTTTTATGATATTGAATGCTTTCCCTTTGTTTTAGTTTCTTGGAAATGCTTGTATTTAGTTAAAGCCATGGACTCAGTGAAATATCTGCATGCCTTGCTTTTCAAGTTTGCCTTCTCATCCCCCTTGTACTCTGTAAAAAATATATAATTTAACAGTTATAGAATTTAATATATTTCTTTTTTTTGCAATGCAGTGTCAGAGTTTTTGTTTGCTTGTTAATAAAATTTTCGAAATTACCTTAAATTCATGTGTTTTCAAGTTTGTTGAAAAAAAATGAGAAACTTTGGATTATGAATTATAATTAAAGTTCTATAATTTAATAAAGTAGACACAGTGTGGCTGAACCATTTAAAGGATGATTACCTGCTATAACCTAACATATCTCTGCATCCGCGTATTTACATACCGTAAAACTACGTCACAGCGTCACCACTCTGGTTACGTCCTCACGTAGCAGTTTGCAAATGACCCTTATCAGTCGCCGTAATTTCTTCTGGAGGCTTGTTGCTATGGAAACGACAACGCAACAACGCTGACCCATGTCTGTTCCCGGTGTTCCCGGTGTGTTCTTTCTTCTTCGTCTTCAATTTTGAGGCAAATAAAAAGTAGTTGAAGAGTTTGCTCCGCGTGTCGGTAAGGTGAGGTTGTTTTTTAGCCACCAACCAGTTCGTGTTACTGACCGTAAAATGTGTCTTAAACGGGAAAGAGCTACGTTACCATTCCCCGTGTTTCCTTCTGTGTCGAGGACTAAGCGTCTTCTTCCTTTACAGCCATGTTAGCGGAGACTCGGGGTCCTGACCCGCTGGTGTCTGCCGCTCCACGGGAGGCCTCCGTCACTGGCAACGATATCAAAGTAAAGTTTGGCATCATTGTTTTTTTCCTGTTTGAGATCTGTGAGAATAACCCTGTGCTGTGCTCACATTTACGAAACTGTGTTTGTTTAGTTTAGTTTACTTTATGTCAATAATGTAAACAGTATACAGAAAATAATCCAGTAAAAACTCTACAATGTCACAAAGTTATCAGTGTTTATTTATCCAGCTTCCCTGTTGATTTAAACCGCAATAACAGCAGTGAACACATTTCTAACTACACATAATACGTACGCTACATAAAATACAAATTATTCCCGTATTATCTTGTTTTCACAACTCCATAATTGTGCTCCACGCAGCAAAGCAAGTAGCAGCTAAAAACAGAAACACTGACTAAAATTCAACATCTTCCTCTCCTATCTGATGAAGATCATATCTTTATACTTCTTTTTGGTTAAATTTATGTTTGTTGCAAAAGTTGTTATTGTCCCAGACCTTTGAACAATAGCTTAAATAAGGTGAACATGGAGTGATGTGAAATCCTGCTCTGCTTTGTTTAGTGCTGCTTGTTGACACTGAAGGAAGAATATATTTAACGTGTCCTTTCTAACTATCTATAATGTCTTTTTCTGTATCAACACCATCTATCTGGATCTTTATATTTGTATTTAATCCATTTACAACTAACATCATTAATCATAATTTGTTCTTATCAAGCCAAATCTTTAATTGAAATATACTGTGTGCAAAAAATGTTCACTGAATGACTTCATCCATTCCTATTGGTCAATGTAAAGTTTGTACAAAAATGTATCATTTTGAAGATATAGTTGCCTTTTCTCAAAGAGACATTGCTGTATGACTGTTTCAGGTCCACTATAAATGTTAAAGATTGTTTTGAATTTGGAATAAATGTTTTGTTTTTTGTGTTTTTCCAAAACTCACATCTCCTACAACACCAAACCTGCCAGGATCCAGGGATTCCCCACAGGCAGAGGGTTGGGAAGTGTCAGCGACGAGCACCAAGCCAAAGAAACTGCTTCTTTGGAGTGGAAACGAGACCAGAGCTGGCCTGGGAGGACTGGGACCTGGGCAGAGAATTTACCAAGACATTAGTGTTAAAGAACGTCCACAACAAGCTAAAGAAGCTACACATAAGGTGTTTAATCTGCTCTGTGCAAAGCTAAGCTTTGTTTTATCCCTGCAGATAACACGTCCCTCGCTTCCCTTCACAGGCCTCCTGTGTCCAAGATTTTCTCCACCTTGGCTCCTCACATAGCTGTCATCAGCCCCGGGACTTCCTTCTCCATACAAGTCACCTTTAAACCTCTTCAAAGGGTAACACATGTCAAAATCAGACAGAATACTACTTGATCTTCACTGATTTTGAAATATGAAATGTACTAGTGCTTTCATGCTTATGCAGCAGTATCTCTGTAGTCAGTAACCTTACATGATACAAACTGATGTATAGAGAGCAGGTAAATATAAAAGTAATTTAACTGTTTCAATAAAATCCTGAGTAGATGATAAACTATTTAAATACAGCAGCTCACTCTGTGCTTTGAAGTCTTCTGCTTGTGTACTGCTGCGTGTGTCTGAGACAGTGTGAGTATGAGGACAGCATTGAATTTCAAGGGAAAGAAGGCAGCTTTCATGTATGCCTCCGTGCCGTCGTTCCCTCTCACACCCTGGAGGTTCCTGAGTCTGTGATGCTCCCGCTCTGTGCTGTTGAACACTCCACACACACTGATTTCCCATTAAAAAATGCCAGGTACACGGTTATGTCTCTGTGTGTATTTCATTTAACCTGTATGTGTGTTTTCTATGTTGGGAGGAAATAGAAAATAGAACGCTTGCTTTTATTTTACTTTAATCGCCTCTTTTTTATTTAATCCTGTAGTAAACTCCATACGTACTTCCAGTGGGAGTGTCCTGCACCATTCCAGCTCCGTCCAGAGCAGGGCCTGTTGAAACCCGGTCAGGAGTGTCACACCACAGTGGTCTTCCGGCCACAGGAGGCACTGGTGTACCAGCAGCAGGCTCTCTGCAGGTTTGGAGAGGAGGGCAAGCTCGAGAGCAGCTGCACTGTCCTCCTACAGGGACTAGGTACTGTAACTAGCAAACCAAAGATCTGACCACAGTGTCAGTGGGTAAGGGTTAGCGTGAGAAACTGTCATAACTGTCAGCCTCCTCACTGTCTCGTTTACTTGTACGTCATGACCAAAATATAAAATGATGGGCTTGGCCCACTCCCATAAAGATAACGTTTGCAACATCACACGATGAACGTAAAATACAAAAGGAGGAATAGAAAGTTAGCCTAAATACTGTTTTCCCTGTAAAATTCCACTCTAGGTATTTTTAGATCTACTTCAAATAGTCAAAAGCTGACACATCGGTCTTTCAAGCATCTGTTTTACCTGCGACTTTTTATCTTGCTTTTTTAAGCTAAATATCCACATCTACTGGTGAAAAATCCCAGCAGCAAAGGGGGAGAAGATAATGGTGGCCCACTGGTGGACTTTGGTCCTGTTGCTGTTGGCAAGAGTTTGCAGAAACACTTTGACATTTTTAACCCGTCTCCGGTGGGTGGTGCACATAGACACGTAAGTGCAAAAGTTCACGCTCGAAGCCTTCTCCCACACATCTTTGCATCCTTTCCTGCAGGTAACGGCGTCTTTTTCTCTGTCACGGCTGCCTGGTGGGGTGCCCTCGTTTGGATCAGAGTTCAGCTGTGATGCCACCCGTGGTAGGGTGGCTCCTGGTGGATCACGGCGGGTTTCAGTCACTTACTCCCCTGCTGTGGTGGATACTGTTTCAGTGGAGTACTTGTCTCTAAACTGCAAAGGCACGCTCAGTGAAAGTCTGCTCAAACTCTCTGGGCGTTGTATTGGTAAGAGGCCCAGACATGAAGGAAAACTCAGTTTCTCTGTAGCTTTAGTAAAGCACATGTACACTCCCAAGAAAGTTGTATTTTCAAATAATAAAAGGAAGATAGTTTATAACCCAGATAATCTCCTTTTGCAGGTCCCAAAGTTGCCTTGTCTTCCTCTGTGGTGGATTTTGAATGTGTTGAAGCAGGAGGATCAGTTGTACGGACGGTGGAGCTCGTTAATGCTTCCACTGCTGAGGCTTTCTACCAGTGGGATATTGACTGTAGTGGGAACAGTGTGTTTAGTATCCTACCAGCAAGTGGTGCTGTTCTCCCACATAGTCACACCAGAGTGAAGGCAGCCTACAGGCCCACACAGCCTAATGCACACTACAGGAGAGTGGCATGTCTCGTACTGGACGGGGTAGGACATGTTAAACACGGCACGGAGACAAGCATTTCTACCTATGTGCTTACATAATGTCTCTTTTAGGAGCCGGTGTTTCTTGACCTGATTGGTACCTGCCACTCAGGGCACCAGAAACCTGCCATACTAAAACCTGAACACTTGGTTCTGCACACGCTTCAGCAGGACTGCAGACAGAATTCACCACATGCCCCGGCAGCCCTGCGGGGAGGTCATAAAATAGAGTCTGACCAGAAAGGGCTGCACTCCCCTGTGGAGGGGGTATG